GGGAAGGGGCCCTGGGTAGAGCATTGAAACCCTGGGCCAATTACCCCGTGAGGCTATGCCTGACGCCTTCCAGTGGAAGTCATGAAACAGGTTTGGGTCACTTCACCTGGGTAGCTGGGTTAGTGAGGGCATGAACTCAAGGACCTTGGCGGCCTGGGTCCATGCCTGCTCCAGGTGAGTCCCATGGACAACCAGGGGCTGGAGCTGCCAGCTGTGCCTTTGGACAGTGGAGGTGGGTAGGAGGGCCAGGGGAGGGAGATTTCTCCTCACCCATCCTAATTGCATCTCAGGAGAGGGAGACAGAGAGAAAGGTTGGCTGTGGCTGACCCGCACTATCCCTTGTGGAGGCTACATAATGAGGGAGAACAGGGAAGCTAATAGTCTGTGTGTATGCGTGTGTGTGTGTGTACTTGTGTGTGTCTATGTGCACTCATGTGCGTGTGTGCTCGTCTGAGTGGCGAGGGAAAGTGAGGGATATTCAGCCTTTCCAAGGACCCCCAGTCCTGGGGAATGATCAGCGCGCAGAACGCAGGCACCTGGATAGGGGGGTATGTGGGTTTTCCTCCAGGTGCTTGTTGAAATGCATACTTCTGGGACCGCCCTCAGACGTACTGAACCAGAATTTCCTGAGTGGAACTATCCATACTAATGACACTTTCCAGGTGGTTGACATGTTCATTAAAGTGAAGAAAAAATCCCCAGCCCATGCTTTGTTTGGACACCTCTCAGGACATGACCCCCTCCAAGCTGCACTGTACTGAGGGCTTCAAAGACTAAAAGCAGGTTACCTCTCCCCTGGTCACCTTAGCAGGACCCTTCTGGAGACAAAGCCTGGGTTTCAGGGACGGACTCAGACACAGGGAGTTGGGCGAAGAGGAAGACAGGTATGCATGCAGGTGAGGGGAGCACGGGTCTGGCTTGCATAGGAGCAGGTTTGCTGCTTGCTGCATTTCTCTGCAGGGCCTCCCTCAGCTCTGGGAAGCGGGGATATGAAGTGAGAGACAGAAAAGGCCTGCTAGCTACTCTCAGTGTGGCCACTTATCCAGCTGCATGATTCAGGAGATTCTCTTTTGCAAGATGGGTCCGTCTTCTCACCTGCAAATGGAAAGCTGGACTAAATCTGTGACAGGCCACCACGATGGAACATTACATACATCTAGGAGCTTGACAGAATAGCTGTTCTGGGACCCAAGCTCAGATCAGTAAAGTCAGAATCTCTAGACCTGGGACCTGGACCCAGGTCTTTAGTTCTCAGCCACTGAAAGATGGTCCTTTCGAGCTGGAATCTATGATCCCCACCAGCTGGACAACAAGGACTGGGTTGAGGGGCCTGATTTCTTTCCACCACCACTTACTTTCCTGTCCCACTTACTTTAAGGAAAACCCACTGGCTAAAAACGTTTGCATAGTTATTGATACTGTAAGCACTTTGGCAATAGGCAGAGTAATGAATGAAACAAATTTTGAGTCGGGAGAGAGGCAAGGGGACAGGAACACCAAGATTTTCCAGCAGCGCTAAATTTCAGAGGCCTGTGCCTGGCTGTGCAACACGGTTACTGCAGAAAGGCCGGGGCAGGGGAGGCTCGTCCTCACCTTCGCTGATGGCCCTGAAAGTCTTTATCTCCAAGTCAGAAGAAAACACAGTTTTCCTTTAACAGCATTTTAAAAATATATATGTAAAGGTCAGACATATTTGAGGGCTTAAGACAGGTGAGTTTGTAACTAAAAGGAAGATCCCATGAATAGATAACTTTTCAGTTTCAGTCTCAGCTTTATAAAACCAGGTTATCTCCAGCTCCCGATATCTGTTCATAAGTAGAACATTACTAAGGACATAATGCAATCAGTTGAGCAAAAAACCCCATCTCATTTACTTTCCTAAGTCTTAACTATTTTGCAGTAAATTCATTCCACGAAGTGTCGATCACCTTTAGTCAAGCTATTTTTTACAGGACCTGAATCGAAATGAAGAAAATATGATACAATGGAATAGGACATAGACTTTAGAGTCTGAAATGTCCTAGTTTAAAGCCTGGCTTTGCCCCTGACTAGCTGTGTGAGCTCAGACATGCTTTATGTAAGTCTTCCCTATCTCGGTCACTTCGTTCGTGAAATGGGGATGACGCTGTCAACTTGCCTATTTCGCAGACATGCTGGGAAGATTAAAAGGAATCATTTATGCCTAAGATGGTACCTGCCACAAAATAGACATCAAAACATAGCCGTTCTGATTAAAATGTTGGTGTTCCCCCATCATACGTGTAATAAAGTTTCACGTTATCTCATATGTCATCTACTTCTCAAGAATTCAGTGAAGAAAACATTTCTTCTGCCATTTCACCGATGTTGAAACTGAGGTGCTTGAAACCTAGGCACTTGAGCCTAGGTCATCCAACACCAAGGCCCATGTTCTCTCCACTGCATTCTCTCGACCGCAAATGGGCAATGCCATTTTAATAAGTGCCAGATCAGCAGGTGCCAGAGATGGCTGTCTCTGTCTTCCGGGAGAGAGCAGATTATGAAAGATGTTGGACTATCTCTTAGGAGATAAATGACTGAGGACCTAGAACACAGAAAGGGTGCATAGTAGAAACTCTATGTTAACCAATAATGACAAGTTCTGGACAACCCTGCATATCACTAAATCTAAACCAAGCTCACAATGCAATCTGTTCCACTGGGGCTTCTGGCTAAGATACCAGTTCATGTCATACACATACACACACACACACACACACACACACACACACACAGTGTGTTTTAATGTAAAAACTTTTAAAGAATCACCTTCACAGAAATTTTTAAAACATGTCAGATTTTATTATGGACGTCTCCAGCACTGAGAAACAGAACAGAACAGATGACCGCAGGCATGAATCGACACCTCAACCTACACCCAACATTTGCTTGCTTGCTTGCTTGTTAGCTTTATCATTTATTTATTTATTTATGTATTTATTTATTTATAGTATTAACATTTAAACAACCAGTGACCAATAGCTGTTCTTGTAGCACAATTCCATTTTAATAAGTCTGACTACACAAAATGGTCATGTTACGAGCAGAGTGCTGGTGAGAGTCAGTCAAGGAAATTCTGCCCCATCAAGAAGCTCCCTACCCAGACCGGACCCGGGCCAAGGCTTGCTATAGAAGAATATGGAGAAAGGGCATTTTTTTTTTAAATCTCAAAAATGAAAAATAGAATATTTTTAAAATAGCATAAAGGGCACATATAAATCAATTTATTTTGATAAAGCTAGAATATCAGTTGGAAAAGGGGCAAAAGGCATGCATATATAATTTATATGCAATTAGCTATTTTAAAAACCTAGAAAACTCTTTAATCTCATTAGCAAATATATCCAAATAATACCTCACTAAAATGAGGTCCTATTTTTTGCCCACAAAATAAACAAAAGATTTCTCGTTTTAATGACCGAACCAAACACTGATGAGAAGGTTTCTGGCTGAGTGATGTAAATGAGAATATAGACCTTTAGAAAAACAATTTGGCAGCAGGATATTAAGAGTCTTTTAAAAAGTGGGTACTCTTTGACAGAGTAACTCCATGTCTGGGAATCTATCCTATGGAAATTGTCTGCAGTTCAGAGAGGGAAAAAAAAGGTTTAAGAAAAAAACGATGGAAACCATTGAAATGGTCAACAAGGTGGAAATGGTGCAATAGAGTATTTTATATTCTCATAATGGGTTATTCAGGTATTAAAAACATTCAGGTATTAAAAAGAGGTTTATGAAGATTTGGAGATAAATCAGGGAAATTCTTATATTGTCAAGTTAAAAAAAAACACTATCAAATGCTTAGAAAAATGATGAGAAGGCAAAACATCAAATTGCTAACACAAGTTATCTGAGTGACGGGATCACAGGTGACTACGTTTCTTTCTCCTGCTTTTCTGCATTTTCCACTTTTTTCTATTACATACATATATGTAAATATATATATGTAAATATATACGTGTGAATTAAGGAAATACATTTGGACTTTTGAGCTGAGAACAAACTTTGTCCAATGACCCTGAAATTATCTGCTTCTCCCTGAATTTATTCCCATCTGCAGAGTCACCAAATATATTCAAGACTAGAGAAAAACACCTCAAAGTCGAATGAGGTGAGTGCCAAGAGAGGCCAAGGAGAAAAATAACAGGAGATCAATAGGCAAAAGAATGAGAGAAACACTTGCTAGCAAAAAACAAACACACAAACAAAATCTCTCCTGGAACATTTCCAATCAGTTCTATCCTCTTGGGCTCAGCAGGCAGATGGAGGGGGTGGGCCGACCTCCTAGAACAGTGCAGATCTGAGATAACCTCCTGCACACAGTATGCAGGACAGGCCAGCAGGCCCTCTGAAGTTCCAGAATTCAGGACCCAGGGGCAGCGAGGTGTGGCTATGGCCTTGGCACATCCTTGATCTTTCCCCCGTGCTCTTTGTACATCTCCAGAGAGCTGAGCCATGCTCAAGTTTGCACACAAAATATGGATAAAAACAGAGCTCCAGACTCATGACTGTCTCATAGCTGGAGCTCTAGAAATCTAAATCATCTTGGCCAAAGCCATCTGTTGTGTTTGTGCTTAGGTTTTTAAACTTCATTTCTGTCCCAGCAAGACTTTTAATTACCTTTCCTTGGCCTGCCCCCGGCTCTGGAGTCAGACCTTCTTCTGTCCCTTGCTCTGGAGTCCTTGAGCCCGAAGTGGCCCCTTCTTGCTCAGAAGTGGAGCCTTCTGGATACATGCCTATGACTGTTCTCTCTGGACCAGGGACTCCCTTGGGCTCGTCTGCAGTGGTCCTCATGTCTCCCTTCGAAGGCTCCTCTTCGGAGCCTTTCTGGGAGAGCCGAGAGCAGTTTCCCAGAGATGATGTTCTAGATGAGGAGGGGGCTGTTTTCAAGCCTGACCTTTGGCCAGGGGCGTCTCCACCCGGGGCAGGGGGTGGCATGGGCCTCTCCTGTTGGTCTGGGCTGCTGTGTCCAGAAGCCTCACCTGACTGGCCCTGTCTAGAGCCAACCTGTGGGGTCCTTTCTTTCTCATCTTGATCTCCTCCTCTCAACTCTGGCTGTCCCTCTCCTTCAGTTTCCTGGGCCTCTATGGTGTCAGCACCATCATTCTGTCCTACCGGATTTCTGTCGCCTCCTCCCGAGGCTTCACCCTCCACACCGACCTCAGCCCCAGAGGCTTCCTCCATGTTCTCCTCCTTGTCACCCACACCCTGCTCCTCCCACTCCACTGCCTCTGGGTGGCAGCCTACGCAGGGGTCCACGCTCCCTTCTACCTTCTGCGTAGCCACATCTTCCTCCTCCCTTTCTGGATCTTCACCTCTGCCGAGGGTCTGGCCACCCTTACCCTCATCTTCCTCCTCCAGGCCTCCATCAGTCCCCTGGACTGTCCCTGTCCCCGAGGGGACCCTCTCGGGCAGCTCCATCCCCGTCCTCTCGGGGACCACCTCTGCAGTATCCCGATTAGCACATCCGCCTTTCTTCTGCAGAATCTGCTTCAGGTCAAAGGCCTCTTTGATGGGTGTACAGGCTACGCCCATCGTATCCTTCTGGGATGCAGGGATCACGTTCTTCTTCACGCAGGCCTCGCAGGGACAGAACTCCTCCCCCTCGGCCTCCCTACCCAACGGGGTCTCCAGGCCTTCGCTGAAGGCTGGCACGTCCTCCTGGGATAGGGAGGGGCTGCCCCAGGGCCGCGTCTGCTCGGAGAAGGCCGAGAGGTTGCGCAGGCCTTGGAGGCGACGCCTGCGCTGCTCTGTCTGCAGGGACGTCTCCCACCTGAGAGCTCCCCTGGGCGGCCCCCGCGCCTTCCCCCTGGCCCGGCTCCGGATCTTCTGGAGCTCTTTCTCTGTACTGTCTTGGAGCCGCTGCCGCACGTCCTGCTGCAGCTCCGCCACCATCTGGTCCAGCAGGTCGTCGCTCGGCAGGCTCCAGCGGGCTCGGAGCATGGCTGTGGCACTGGCCAGGTGGGCCATGAAGGCCTTCTCCATCTTCTTCAGCAACCTGGACACCCACAGGGGGTCAGGGTCCAGAGACATCCTATGGGCCATGGAAGTGCCCTTCTCTCCAGCCCCCTGGGTGAACTTGGCCTGGGTTTGCTCAAGGCCCATCTGAGCTGCTGTGGGCAGCTTCTCCAAACTGGACTCAGCGTTGGGATCATTTTGACTCCCACTGGCATTTAAATCTCTCTCAGTGAGGTTCCCAGGGGTCTCCATCGGGTCCTCTCTCTCTCCAAGGTCTCTTCCTGCTTCCTCTTCCTGCACACGCTCACCTTCCCGTGCATCCTCCCCATCCTGACAGCCGACCCCTGACAGTTCTTGTCCCACGGCTTGTCCCTCTTCCGGAAATCCACTGACGCCCTCTCCTTGCAGTTCTGCCCTTTCTTTTTCTTCTTCCGTTTTCTCTAATTGCACCCCCTCTTCTTGCATCGTGTTTTCCGCTGCTCGGTCCGGGTCACTGCCCAACGCCTGCTCCCCGCTGCGTTCTTCTGCCCGCTCCTTCCCAGTGGCACAAGCCGGAGCTTGGGAGCTTGAGGAGGCTGTGGAACCGCTCGGCTGTTGGTTTTCCAGACCCACCGGGTTCTCTGAGGTTCTGGAATCCGGCCTCTGGTAGGGGATTTTCAAGGGCAGCTCTATCCTCTCAGCAACCGGCGTGCAGTCCACCGCGCAGGGTCCGCTGCCATCCCCTGAGCCCGCGGAGCCACTGCCTACATCCACGCCGGATGAGGACGTTGGCGTGAAGTCCTCGGTCACAGCGTGGGACCTGAGGCATGACAGAGCCTGGCACCCACCAAGCTCCCAGAGGTCGGAGTCCAGCTCACCTCGCCTGAGGCCACACCCCGACCACAGGGCCTGGAACGTGCTCAGGAGCTCCTGGTACCGAGGAGAGTCTGTGAACCTCACTTTGCGGGTTGGAGACCCACGGTCTTCATCGAAAAAGTGAAGCCGGGCGAGACAGGTGATGAGGGCCTGGGCGGAGTGGCTGAGCCTCCGGCCCACCGCGCTGGACACTTCGGGCAGACTGCTGGGCCGGCCCTGCTTAGAGCCCATCAGCGCCTTCATGATCTGTAGGGTGGCGGAGACCCTGTGGGGAAGCACGCACTGGCCCGGGCCACCGTCCCCAGCGGTTCCTCCGCCTGCTCCGGCCTCCTTGGGGGCTTCCGAAATCCTGCTATGAGAAAGACTCTCTGCTGACTGGGGGCCAGCATCACTCATCACTGGGAGGGTTCCGTCTGGTTCTGCTTTCTCATTGGCTGTCCCTTCCAGGGATGATCCTCTGGGCTGACTTGGCTCCCCAAGGCCTTCCGGGGAATGTTTCTCAATAGGATCCTCCGTGGGGCCTTCCTGGCCGTCCCCAGCCACATCCGTGCTGTCATCCACCATCTCATATTTCATGGGCACAGGCTCCTCTGGGATGTTGTTCAGCCATTCGCGGACCACAGCTTCCGGCGAGACTCGGGGAAGAGCACCTGGTGACACGCTGCCACCATCCTCTTGCTCCTGCAAGCCTTCCTCTGCACCAGTGACCTGCCCCTGGAACATTCTGCTGGGCCTGGGACCTAGGCTGGGGCTGCCCCTTCTCGGGGCTCTGATTGCCACCCCTCTGGCCCTTGACTGAGAGCCAGGAGGCTGTGGGTGCTGCAAATCCAGCTTTTCCTCCCCTGGCTGGGCCCCCCTGGGCCCCCAATCAGCGCTGTGGTCCCCCCCACTGTGGCTGCTGCTGCCTGAAGGGTGCTTCTTGACGGAGGGCTGTGCCCTGGGAGGATGGGGACAGTACCTGCTACACACTGAGCTGGCCTCAGAGAGCGGCTCTCGGCTGCCCTGAGGCTGGGGAAGCTGCAGGGCCTGAATCTCACCCCCAGGCGTCCTGGGGACAGGGGATGTGCCCGTCTGGGAGCAGCAGCACCCTTGGCGGGACTCTGGCTTCTCCCCATCATCCTGTCCATCTGGCAGAACCAAGGACCAGGGAGGCTTGGGGGCATCGCCCCATGCCTTTTTGCCCAGGCCATCAGCTTGAGACCTGAAAAAGTTGGAAGGTGTGGGAGTCGGTGAGTGCGCCCTGAACTCAGGGTCCCCTTCTGTCTCAGCAGAGGGTGAATATGGGGGGTAGAAATTGGAAGCACAGTCCGAATCGCTCACAGATGTAAAGGGGGCACTGCTGACCCCTCTTGCATCCTGGGAATGGAGGGAGGCAGAGGAGGGCGGCCCTGCACCCCGCGAGGCCCGGTTTCTGGTGCTAGGGGAGCGTGGTACTGGGCGAGCCCTGCTTACGCTGGGAGGCCCCGGCCTTCGCCTGGACACAGGTGAGTGGAGCGGGCAGTGGGCGTCCCTTCGGTTGTGGTGCTGCCTTGGGCAGCCTTTCTGGGCCCCTCCGCTGAGGACAGAAATGCTGGGGGAGGAGAATGCACTGGCTCTGCTCCCCTGCTTTCTTCTCCCACCCATGGCTGAGACACAGGCAGAAGGTGGGGAACAACCTCCTGCAGTGTCCCCAGAGCCACAATGTCCCGCAGCCAGGGGCAACCTGGTCCCAGATCCACCCCTGTCCTGGGGGCGCATGGTGCCTTGTCCACTTTCCTCTCCCTGTGGATCTTTGTTCCTCAAAGACGAGGCACTCAGGGTGGGAGAACTGGGTCCTCCCCCCTCAGTGGCCTTCCCTAGGGAAGTCACAGTCCTTGTCTTGCTCAGGTGGCCCTGGTGCGGCTCACCCCTTTTACTGGATGCCTTGTGAGACCCAGTACTCACTGAGGAGTCAGAAGGAGCACCTGCCACATCTTGGGTCCTGGGTTTCCGGCAGCGTTGCCCCCTGCTGCCTGGCCTCGCCCCCTCTGGACCTGGGCCCTCACCAGCCCGGGTGGTGCCACCAGCTTCCCACCCTGCTCTTTTCTGGAAGTCAGCTCCGGAGGCTGGACGTAGGCCACAGCTGCCCACACTGCCCTCCCGGGACCTGGAGCAGCAGGAGGAATTTGGCTCAGAGCCTTCAGGGGGTCTGTCACTGGAGGTGATGCTGACACTGTCCTTGATGCTTCTTTTCCCACCAGGAAACCCTTGGCTCTGGAGGCCCCTAGAGTGGGAGTGCTGGGTCAACCTAGACCTCTTCTGAGAGGCCGTCCCCTCTCCCAGGGCGGTGTACAGAGGGTTCGTCCAGATCTCGTATCTGGACCCTGGCTGCCACCGGCCTCGTTCAAAGGTTTCCTTGCACCCTGTTTCACGGGGCCCCAGGTCCTGTGCCCTAGGCTCTGAGGAGCCACCAGGGTGGCCCTCCAACACACAGTGGAGGGGGTCCACCTCCCCCAGAACAGGGTCCTCCCCACTGGCTGCCGGAAGGGTGCTAGCCCCGCCGACCCTCCTGGACCACGAGAGCATGTCATCCCCCAGAAGCTGGAAGCGAACTGTCATCTCCACAGACAGGCTGCCGTCCTCATTCATGTGGACCTTCTTCTCAACATCGTCAGCAGCTACCAATGAGCCGAGCTGGGCAGGCATGTCCTGAGAGTGCCTGTCAGGAGCAGGGCCCATCCAGGTATGCGACAGGGAGCCCAGGGGGTCGCTGAGACCAGATCTCTCCGACAGCAAGGAAAACTGCCGTGGCCTGCTGCCCGACCTGGACCTCGAGTGGATCACACTCTGCTTGGCCTTCGGCCCCCAGCTCCCTGGCACACAATGAAGAATAAGAGGAAAAGATAGTGAGCTTCTGGGAGGAGCTTCAGGGCAGGAGACTAAAGACTGGTCATGAGCCTTTCGGCACCTAAACAGCCCTGCCGCCTCCGCAATCACACAGTAAGGGCGGAAATCATTCTAGAAAGAGTCTGCCGTTTGTGAACCAGCATAACAAAGCGAGATGAACTTGAAATCTGAATTCAATCTCAAGCCCGCTACTTCCTAGCTGCGTAGCTTTTGGCAGAGCCCCTTTTTCTGAGCTATAAAATAAAAATGAAGGTATCTATTTGACGATGTGCTTTGACAATGCCAGGCAATGCATGTAGAACTTCCTGCAAAGTTGCCAGCACAAAGTAGGTTCTCAATAGACAGCAGAGGTGGAGGGCAGAGCAGTAAAGCCCAGTGCTAACTCCTAGTCCTCCTTAAGCCCACTCCCAGCACAGGAAGCAAAATCGGTAAGCTGCTACATATGTACCTGATTGTAAACAGTAAAATGCTTTGCAATTATTAGTGGTGATTTATCATCCTAACACTCATCAAACTTTGGTGTTGATAAATGATTGCAAGGAAGGACCTGGACACACAATTGCAGGTCCTAATAGTCATGGCTACACCCCAGCCATGAAAAAGAGAAGAAGTAGTCACTGGGGATAGAAAAAAATGACCTCAAGAAAGAATGAAGCCCCTAGTACTTTCTCATTTCATCTCCTGAGCTAATAACTTCAAGAGGAAGGGGGCCAGTGGAAGGTAAGCCTGTGGCCAGCAAAAGAACAGACCTCCTTGAGTCCATATGAACAGGAGAAGGTTTGGTCAAGCTCTGCTCTTTCATAAGCACCAAATAAGACTGGCGTTTCCGGAGGGGGCGTGTGGCCAGTGGGTCTTCGCATCTCCAGTACCTGGTATGCAGCAATCACTGACACCATTGTTGTCATTTCTTAACAGCTGTTCACAAAGGGTATTATTTTGTTTACTCACCACAATTTGCCCATTGTCATTCCAATAATTTTGCTTAAACTTTTATTCTACGACTTTTAACTGTGCTTTTAAAATAATGTTTCTCAAATAACAAAACCTAGGCTCTGATACTTAGTAGGCTTTTTGAATGGATATATGGTTGGATGTATAGATTGATAATGGATGGTTATTATTAGTTTTAGTCCATTTGGCCCCCTCACTATTGCCTGAGAGAGTCATGACTCTTGAAAGATGCAAATGTCACATGCCTTCGGTTCATTGCCTCCATAATCTCACGCCCACCATGGCCCTTAATAAAGCTTATTTTAGATCCCAGAAACTTAGAGTTCAAGATCGCCTCATCCTTGTTCTCTCTGAACACCAGACTTCCCTCTCTCATACTCCAGTCAAATGTTCAACCCAGTTAAGGTTGATGGTGATGAGAAGAAAGAGGAAGAAGCAAGAGAGCCCCCAAAACAAGTGGATGCCCAAGAATTAGGGCCAAAGGCAGGTTTCCTAAATTATCTAGAAAGGATATCTGCTCAGCCTTCCCGAACCACTATCCGGTGCAAATAACATTGGGGAAACTCCAAAACCAGCTCACCGTTTTTGTTCCTTGACGTCTGCCCCAATAAAGTTTCAGTCCCTTTTCTTCTGGCACCTTCCATCGCCAGAGGTCTGAAGGACTCGTGACCAGCACACACCAGCACCGAGGGGCTTCGCAGCAAAGCCTTCAGGGAGTCCACCTGTGGAAGGAGACTGTGGGGTCAGGGGGCACGCTCTGCAAGAACCCCCTTCTGCTCAGGGAGACACAGGCAGAGGAAGAATCCACTCACCCTGGCCCTGTCCTGATATTTGTACATCTCACCTCAGATTTCTGATCCAAAGGAAGGATCCCATCCAGTTGCCATAACACCGCTATAACCAGCTGGGGACAGGACCTGTCACCATGGTCTTCCTCTCTACCTACACCCTCCCTCCACCTGGTGTGAGGCCTGTGGTTTAAAGGTTATTCTGGATTCCTCAACTAGAAAAGACTTCATGAAGCCTTTGGCCTGCTTTCTAACCCACACTAGCACCCTCCGGAACAGGCATTTTTTAAAACAACCAGAGCAGAAAGTCCTCTAGCTTCCATGTGGAGATGGGATTCACTAGCTCACCCTTTCACCTCTTGGGTTTGAACTGTGTTTTCCAGTGTAATCTGAGCCCATCACCTCTGCTTTTGCCCCTAGTGGAGCAGACAAGAGCAAGGCACTGTTTCCTCCACAGGCAGCCAGCACCTCCCTCCCAGCCTGTTTCAAAGGCTCTCTAAGCTCCTGCCCAGACGCTGGTGTCATTCCCTCCCCACCCGCCCTGACACCCACCAGCAGAACATCCTGAGCTGGGAGCTGAGCAGGCAAAGCCAGTGCTGGATTGCATTCCAGGAGACAGAGCCTTGCTTTTAGAGAATTCTCACCTGGCCTGGGGCCCGACATATCTGAGGGTTTCCACTATTTGTAATATTACATTGTAATTAGCAGTGCGTTCTTTTTATTTTCTCAGATTAAAAGGGTATGTTTATTAACCAGAAAATGAAAGAAAGAAGAGAACTCTTGTATCTTCTCTTCCCAAATGACATTAAGATTGCTGTACAGCAGATCTTTCAACCCAGGTAATTAGGAGCTTGTTTCGAACTACTAGATATATTTCTTTTTTGGTTTATATCTCCGGTTCATTGCAAAAATGTAAAAATGACCCATGTCTATCAATTTATAGATGTAGACATGCTTCTAGGAAATCAGATTTTCCAAGGAAGAAAATAGAACTGAGAGTAAATGATGCTCCTATTTTAGAAAGAGGTAGAGGTCTCGGATTCATGAAAACAAAAACAAAAACAAAACACAGCAGTATCAAGAGTGTCCATCCAATTGAGGACTGCGAATTGATAATCATGACACAGCCTATACTGTGGACAATGAGGCCACTTTGTTTACAGAAGAAACTCTAATAGCTCTGAGGTCAATCTATGTAAAAATAGGCTAATTTTTTTCTCCAATTAATTAATTTCGTTCCTGCTTTCTCTCCCTCACCATACCTACTAAACTGTAGCCAACTGAAGGTCGGGACTTAGTCTTATTTGCCTGTAAAATCTGCATATAGCATCTGCACCATAATTTAGAAGCATTCTTACATTAAGACTGTGAAATCATTAAGGCCGGCCCTATCATTTGCCAGCCACACAACTATGAGAAAGTTAATTAATCTCTGTGCCTCAATTTTTTTTTTTATATCTACAAAGGGTATAATAATATTAACCGCCTCATGAGTTCGTGTGGTGGATGCTATGCCCTGCATTAGTCAACGTTTCTGTTCACTCTTTTTCTGGTGTGCTTTCCTGTTCTGCAGAGCTCAGAAAGCTCTAAATACATTTCAGGAGGCGACAGCAGCTCAGGCCGCAATGGCTAGAAGCCGGCGCCCGAGTGTTCCTGCGTGTCAAGACGCAAATGTGGCAGTTTCCTGAGTCCAGCTTTATAAGCATGGATGCCACTACGGAGAAGTACCTGGAACTCAATAATCACCGTAGCTTCAAGTAGAGGTAGTAGCTTCCTGCTAAAAGCTTTCCTGAACACCCAGAGTTCATTCTTCCAAATGCCCAAAGATTCCGAAACCCCCTAATGCCCTGTATTAAATCACTTACTCCATAAGCTTCTTCAAGAAGATTCTGTTTCCTGTACTGACCTCTCACACTAATAGGTGAGACTGGATAATAGGAGGGTTGGATAAGAAAATAATGAATGTGTGTGCAAGGCACAGTGTCTGGTGCTAAAAGCCTGCTAAATGGTAGCTAAAAACATGAATAACAATTGCTTATTTGATGACTGAATGAACATCTCCCCTCCACCCACCTTTAGTTAGAAGCTGGGCAGTCAGTGCCTCCTTTGAAGGATAATCGCCTCATTCCACTTAAATATTTTGACCTGAGGTCCATAGAACTTTTTAAAGGAAATATCCCCGACGGCCTACCTTTTCCCCACTGGTTGTGTACACACGCTTCACAGGAAAGTGCAGAAGGTCAGAGGCTTTGCTGAGAAAGGCCGTCAGGCTCCTTGTGTTTCTATGACTGAGAGTCACTGTCTGCTGGGATCCAGGTTCCCCATTCTTAACCAGCATTATCTTCCTCGGGGCTGTAGGACCCCTCCGTGAAGCAGAGGTTCCTGGCGCCTCACACTGGCCTTCCACATCCCGCGACTGCTGAGCAGAGGGGCTCCTCCCCTGTGGCAGGCCTGGCCCACTGGACGTCTTGGGGAGTTTCTTATCAGAGCAGAGGTAGCAACCGCCATCCTCCAGCTGCTCCAGGGCGCTGAGGCCATGCAGGCCCCGAGGCGTGGTTACAGAGCGCACCCCGAAGGAGAGAGGCACGCGCTGTGACAGCTCGTCCATCAGTGCGCTGAAGCTCTTGAAAGTGCGCTGGTGGACAGGCAGGCGAACCCCGGCAAACTGGGGATCCCCTCGCTTAAGGAAAGTTATCTTCTTGGCTGGTGTGACCTGGGTGACAGAGGGGGTCCGGGCCACGGAAGGCAGGAGGCACTCGCGGTAGGTGGGGGCCTGGGCATCCCTCAGGGTGCTGTTCATGGCTTGGAGGCCCAGGCAGCTGAAACGGGTCAAAGGAAGAGAGTCAGAGAGCAGCTGGAAGAGTTGGTGGTTCCTCTCTCCCCTTCGTGATAGAGGCGCTTCCTGCCCACCCCCAATCTGCTCTGCTCGCTCTGCAGAGGCAGGTTAATCTTTTGATGGAATAGAAAGAAGGCCAAAGGTTTGGCATCGGACAGATCTGAGTTCAAATTCCACCCCACCCCGCACTTACTCCTTGTGTGACCAGGAAGTAAACGATGCGTGCTCTGTGTTTGGTGGACCCCCACCTGTAAAACGCAGCCGTATTCACTTTGCAGAGCGGTTATAGTGAGTAAATGAATTTACGCATGTAGAGCACCTGGCACAGAGCAAGCACCGGTACATCTTGATTCCTTTCCTTCCTCTTGCTGTTCCTCTTAACACTCTTCTACCACCTTGAACTCCTTTGAATACCTTAGGGTTTACCTCCTAAAGAGGTGGGTAAATAAAGGGCAGGCAGACCTTCTAGCGCAGATGTAAGAATGCGGAGCAAGCAATCAGGAGGCCTGGGCGCCCTGCCCACTCTCTCAGTGCAGAGTCTCATGTGCGGCCCTGGGGGATGCCCAGCTCTCAGGACCCTCATCCTCCACTGCCAGGTGAGAGGACAGGAGCAGAATCCCTCAGTCCCAAACCCCTCAGGGACCTGAGTGCTGACAAGGAGACTTGTAACCCAAGGAGGATGCCGCCTCTTGATGCCGTGATGTGTTTTCTCCATCATATGGTGATACTTGCTTTTATATGAAAAGCATCTTCCCTCTCACTTCCCTCCAAAGTCTTTGGAAGATGTGTGATGAACCCTATGGGTGAGTACTCCAGCCTGCTGCCGTTGACATGGTAGACTGGGGCCTCAGGCCAGCTGCAGTTGGGTCAAGGCCATTCATCCAACTATTCATTTCTATTCCCACCGCAGTGGAGCCCACTGCCTCACCCAGGACTCTTGCAAGAAGCCTGCTGCAGACTCTTCCTGTCCAGGTCACCTCGCCATGCTCTGTTCTGTGCACCTGCCGGCCAAGCTGTCCTGAAACTGTCTTCACCCTTACATTTCCTGTGCTCCAAGCCCGTCAAGTGATTCTCGCTGTCTGCGGAAAAAGCCCAGGCCATTTACCCCACGGTCTGAGGCCTCTCCAACCTGTTCCTGTCCGTCCACTGAGCCTCAGCTTCTGTCCTCTCCTGCAGGAATTCTCCACTCCAGTTAGGCTGCCTGACTCGGGGCTCCTCCTGCCTGGAGACCTCCATCCTTCTGCCACCCCCCTTGGCTTCCCTCCTCTGTGGAGTCTTCCACAGCCCTCCAGTCTGGGGCAACTCTAATTTTCAGCATGGCTCCCCCAATATTTCCCATATCCCAGGACTGTATCCTTCTTGGCCAATTACCTCAAGGCCTGCGAGGCAGAACCTGTGTTCCCTGGGGCACTCAGCCCCATCCTTGGCACACAGCAGGGGCCCAGGAAGTCCATACTGATTAAGAAGGCCACTATCTCACAGAGCTTCGTAATAGAGCCCAGGCCTGTCACTAAGCTTGAGCAATTATGGTCAGGTAAGGAGCCATCCCTGCTTCCACGCGGTGCAGCACGCAGGTAACCGTGGCCTCCCCTGCTTCAGCCATGATCCCTGCTGACCGTTCCTTCAGCGCCCGTATCCCCTTCCCTTCCCTTTGCCCTCTTTTTACCCCATTCGTCTTAGAGGAAAGGACTCTTCCCTCATTTTTAAACTCCTGCTGCACAAAGAGATCTGATAATCCTCTCTCATCTCTGGCCCAACTTTATAATTAGCCTCTTCAGCCTCCTCCCTCCCAACTAATCCCTTTAAGCTGCTTTTTCAGATTTCCCGCTGCAGCCCTGCAGCTGCCTGCACCGTTGCCCCCACGCGCCTTCCCTGCCTTCCTGAAGGACCGACTATTCTTCCCACTCGATTTTCGTTTTCAGTCGTGACAATGAGCATGCTTCGTGGCCCTCACTAGGGACCGGGAGGGGAAAGAATGATCACTGTATCTTCCCATGTCACCATGTTCCCCAGAATCACTGTGTCCTCTGTCATTATCATTTCCTCCAGCATCATCATATCCCCAATGTCACTGTGTCCTCAGGTGTCACTGTGTCCCCCAATGTCATCGTGCCCGCTATATCACTATGTCCTTATAATCATCATGTCCCCCAGCATCACTATGTCCTAAAATGTCACTGTGTCCTCCAGTGTCACTGTGTCCCCAAGTGTCCCCATGTCCCAAAATCATTACATCCCCAAGCATCACCATATTCCCCCAGCATAACCACATCCCCCAAATTTACCATGTCCTCTAGTGTCACTGTGCCCTCCAGTGTCACGATGTCCCCCAGTGTCACCGCGTCTCCCAGCATCACCATGTCCCCCAGAAATCCCTCTGCCTCAAAGGGCTTCTGCTCCTTGCAGCCCATTCCTGGCCAGAGAGGGCCTCTCTAGAGCCCTCCCGGACAGCGGCTCTGTAGTGCGAGGATGACCATTCAAGGGAAAAGCAGGAAATCGGCCTGAGCGAAGGCGAAGACCACGCCCTGGCTCCTTGAGGACCAAGGCAAAAGCACAACATCGCAACATACACTCAAGCAGCTTTTGTCATTCTTCTAGAAAACAACATCTTTCTGAACTGGAATTCTCAATTTCCGACTGGATTTTTGAAATTATAAAAAAAAGGAAAATGTGACCCAAACTCAGGCTGACAGCAGCTGGGGTCCAGCACGAAGCCTTGCTCCCAACCAGAGACCAAGCACACGGCCCGAGAGAAATTGAGGGAAGTTATCGATCATCCTTTCACTAAATGTACTTGCACTCGTATAATTGACAAGATTCTGCATTAACTTCAAGTGGCTCACATACGTGCACACACACACACACACACACACATATGCAGGGGCACACGCACGCATACACATACAGACAAGTTAGAAAAAATTTAAGACCCAAGAGAATGAGCCAAAGGAGCCAGGGTGGCTTAGACTCATGGACTATGAAAAGTGAGAACATGTAAGACTACAAACATCACCCAATCCTCGCAGGAAAATGAGCGACTGCTTGCTCTCCAGCCTCGTCAGTGGAAACAAACAGGTTCAAGGGCACACGCACGCATACACACACAGACAAGTTAGAAAAAATTTAACACCCGAGAGAATGAGCCAAAGGAGCCAGGGTGGCTTAGACTCATGGACTATGAAAGGTGAGAACATGTAAGACTACAAACATCACCCAATCCTCGCAGGAAAATGAGCGACTGCTTGCTCTCCAGCCTCGTCAGTGGAAACAAACAGGTTCAACTTCATCCTCATGGTGAGTCACTGAGAACTGTGACCTCCTCTGGCAGCCATGGGGAAGGGAGAAGCAAATCGATTTCCTTTTCTAAAGAAACTTTAATGAACTTTCACCTTCAAAACAGCCTGGCCCCATCAGGTTGTTCATTCATTCAGTCACTATTTCGTTCACTCGTTTGTGTACCCAGCAAAGATTCCCAGGCTCTATGCTGGGTCCTCGAAATACAAAGATGACTGAGACGCAGTACCCATCTTCGAAAACTTCGTGTTCTAGTGTGACACGTAGGTGCGTTACTAAAAGCAGCAGCAGAAATGTTCTGAGATATAGATATAGATACAGATATATTATACACAGGGCGTGACTGAAAACAGATTAAGAGGAATGGTGAGTAAGGGAAGACTTCCTGGAGGAGATGATATGGAGCCTCCTGAGAAGAGACCTAAAGGACAATTTAGAGATTAACCAGAGAAGGAAGAAATTAGGACCGGCATAGCAAATAGTTATGGCCTTGGTGCCAACTCTGACAGGCCAGGATGAGTTGGAAGAATGGGAGGAAGATATGCTCAGGTTTCCTATATGCTGTGATCAGCTAGAAATGCTGATCTGTCATAGCATCAGGACAGAGAAGGGCCATACAGGTGTCAGACATTTGCCATCCTTCTTATGTGCAGGGCGTCGCTTCGTGGTAGCAGAGGGGTCGGGGGGAAGCGTGGTTATGTGCAAAAGTGCAGTGAAGGGAGAAAGCTTGGGCATTCAGGAAGGGCCTTCGATGGATGTCATCCTGATGTCTTAAAGATCCCTCTGGCAGCAGGAGGGAGGATGGGGCCCGGGAGAGTGAGGAAATTTAGGGACCAGGGACTAGGTGACCGACCAATAGGCAAAGGGTGGCGGAGCCGTGGGAGAGGATGAGTTACTGTATGATTCTCAGGTTTCAGGCTCTGGGCCTGGGTGCAACCTGGCACTCACTACTCACCCAGCAGGAGAGCAGAGTGAGGAGCAGTTTTGGAGGCAGGGGTGAGGGAGCAGTGAGAAAGGCCACTCTCTCTGCAGAACCAGGTGTGCTGAGTGCACACCTGGCGTGCTGATAAATGCCCCTGCAAGGATGAAACAGCACAGATGCAGTAAGATCAGCTCTGGCCTAGGTACCTCAACAACAGAACCAAAAGTCCTTCTTCACTGAAGTCTTCAAGGCTAAAGCCTGGCGAGAAAACTCAGGGGGTTCCTATGTGAGATTCAAGAACAGGTTAATAAAGAAGAAGAGGCAGGTAACAGGGGATGGCGAAACAGAGGGGAAATAAGAAGCAGGTGTCATTGTAAGTCAAGGTGACCAACCATCTCAATGCACCTGGAACTGCCCCAGTCTTAGCACTGAAAGGCCAAGTGTTAAAACGCAACCCTCCCTGCCACCTCCTGTCCCCGGCTAATGAGGACGTTGGTCACCCTGTCCCGCTGCCTTCGCCATGGGGCCCAGCCAGTTTCCTTGGATCACATGGCCACCTCTTGCTGACAATGGCTCTACTGGTACTGAGGCCGAGATAAGCTGGCATTGCCAGAGGCTGCCCCGTGGAGCTGGGAAAAGGCGCCACCACGAAGGGTGGGAAACTAAGTCCAGGTGACCTGGTTGAGCCCCCCGGGTGCAGTAAGGCCTGAAACCAGAACCCAAACTGGAAAGCTGGATTCTTCGGTTA